CTTATTTCTTCAATTAATCTGTTGTCATGTCCTTGTAGCCGTTGTTTGTAGAGTAGAGCTAATCTTCATATCTCGTCTGTTACGTATGGGACTTGCAGGTTCGTTGTGGAGCGTCCGATTGGAGACGTACCAGGGTGCGTTGGTGATTGTTCGTAGAACTCTGGACTGTAGCCTTTGGATGATTTGTGTATTTGATGGCTTTGCACAGCCCCACAGTTGAACTCCATATGTCCATATAGTTTAATTATGCATAGCAAGAAGGTGAGGCACAAAAGTATTGTGCAGCATGCTTGAATAGAGCTCACTGTTCACTGTCTCTTCAAAGAAAATTGGTCCTAGCAGTCCATGACTTGAGATGGCGACCCCCACTGCAATTCTCGGTGCATGGTGCACATTCTCATGAATCACATGTGGATTCTCCGACGCCTAAAATCGCACATTTTGTTTATTACCAACATCATCCAAGTGGAAATATGCCTCATCAGAAAATCAAACATCATTCTGAGCCCATTCAGTGAATGAGATCTTTTGATGTTTGCTTTAAACTGTAAGTTTAGGCAACGCTGTCATTTTGTATGAATACAAATTCAAATCAATTTTCAATATTCGTTGCACTGATCATCTGGATATTCCTTGTTGTGCTGCAGCCTTGCTTGTTGGTTTCCTGGGGCTTCTTTGCAGCGCCAACTAGTGATCTCAGGAGAACGCGCTGATGAAAGCAGGCGACGTTTCCCTTCCAACACTGAACCATAATTATTAAACTTTTTATAAATGTTAATAATTGTTTTGAAAGAAGGCGCCCATCGCGTTTGAAAGTGGGAATGAAACCACCTCTGTATGACCACAACACATCTTGTTTCAGTAAGGAACAACACTGTTTTTATGCGTTCTTTTGCAGACAGTATTCCTTTGTCAGCCATCTTGTGAAAAGTGGCGCATGAGCAGGAACAGCGCGATATTGGCGCGCTCGGGAAGCGTGAGAACTAATCTCCATGATCTACCATATTACAAAACACCGTTCGTTGCATGGTAAATTTGTCTCTCTGCTTAACTTATTAAGCACCACATCATGAAAGAGTATGGGGAGTGGATGTATAGACCCATATTTTCTTGACCTCGGAACTAGATGGAGGGGAGCGGTCAGCTTCACGCCGTATCCGCTTTGACCCCGGAGATAGAGTCCCCGGTACCCATTGAATAGGAGACTGGGTAGGCCCTGGAGCCGGTCTGGACGAGATGGATAAGAGAAAACTCTTGTCCCTATTGGAACTGAACTCCGACCCCTCGGTCGTCTGGTTGAATAATTAATACTAAATCTAATACTTAGGCCGCGCCATAGCCCAAGCGGTTAGTCGCTAGCTTCCCACCGCGGCGGCCCGGGTTCGATCCCGGGTCTGGTCAAGTGGGATTTGAGTGGATAAAGTGGCGCTGAGGCAGTTTTTCTCTGAGTATTTCGGTTCCCCTGCCAATCTTCATTCCACCAATCGCTCCATAATCACCCTCACCTATCATCTGGGGCTACAATAGGCCAGAAGTGGCCGCAGTACAAGGGACTTAGTCCCACCCCACTAGCAAGAAAGAGGGAAGGGATTAGTGCATAAATTGGGGCTGTAGCGCCACAGAAAAAAAATATAAAGAATGCCTAGTGTCATGGGCTGTTTTGAAAATACTGACAAAGTTTGATATCTCTTGTAAAGCAAGTTTACGATGTGCATTAGGCTGATGCATAGCAAAACTGAATTTGACGAACAATTATGATGAAGCTTATTTATCGCAATTTTGTAAATATTTTGAGAAATTCCAGAGATTAAAGTTTTGGAGGAATAGAAGAACGTATAGGCACGAAACCCTATTATACGTTCATTTTATTTACTTTGTACAAGTAACTCCAGAGCCGGGATAGCTCAGTCGGTACAGTGACTGTTACGAGCTGGACGACCGAGGGGATCGAGTCCCGGTAAGGTGAAGAATTTTCTCCATGTCGTCCAAACCGGTTCTGGGGTCCACCCAGACCCCTATTCAATGGGAACCAGGGAATCGTTCCCCGGGACTAAAGTGGCCGGGGCGTGAAACTGACCACTCACCTCCAGCTAGTGCCAAGGTCAAGAAAATTTGTATCTATACATCCACTCCCCCATACTAGTTAAGCACAGGGACAACTTCGCATTTTTTTTTTTTTTTT